GAAAAAAAGTCGTCACTCGTTTCAGGTCATCGCATTCATGAAAAAAAGGATAATAATCAAGGAATATATTTTTTTAATACGATTCAACAAGAGTATCACTCGAGTTGTTATTTTACAGCGGCAAGAGCTTGTCAGGGGGCAAGTGAATAAATTGCCTCCGTATCACGTTAGGGAGGATATCTTTTTTTCTTTTTTTTTTTTTTCGTTTAATAATTGAAGATTAATTAAAGATCGTAAACGATTAAAAAAACAAATTTATGAGAAAAGTAATACCTTACGATGGTTCGTGAAATCAATAATTATCCAGACGCATTAAAATAAGCGGGGAAACAAGCTTGACGAAGAGTAAGTCATTTGTATCGCGCATTGACTTGCACATTTTCAGACACAACGTCGCGCAATTTCATTTCATCAAGATAGCCCTCGCCGACGCAAACAAAGTGCTTCCAACACGAAGTAATTAATTACGGTGATCTGATTGCACGCGATTAATCCTGCCGACTTTCGAGCGGATCATTAATTAAGGGTGAATGAATGTCCCGGGGTATGTAGGCACTACCGAGGACACGCTCATTTATTTGGAATAATTTAGTTTAAATGAGTAAACCGTCTATACGTGTGCGTGTATGTGCGTGTGCACGCGCCCAAAGTTCACGGTCGATATCGCAGCCGGACATTTGATTTGCATTCGAGATATGATCGATCATTCTATTCATTTGCCAAGCATTATTACTTAACGATATTTATACTCAATTTACATATTTTTTTCACGATTACGATACGTGACCTCTCATTTATCAGCAGTGGAGCTTTTAATTGCCTTGGGTAGCACCTGTCGCGACTCTTAATTCCAAGAGAACTGGAACTTTAAGACAAAAAATGAATGGTATTTTTATTTACTGAACTTGTCGGCTCTCTCTCTCTCTCTCTCTCTCCCTCTCTCTCTCCCCCCCCCTCTCTCTTTGGAAAATTTTCTGTACTTTGCACGTAAACAGAGGTGGAGTGTAATTATTATTCAGTACAACGCGGGCAGATTTTCTTTGGTCTCGTAACTCTCCGAGCTTACGCTCGTTGAGCTTTTTATTTATACAGCTCATTGTGTGCCCCTTTTCTACAATGTGTTACACGGCTTCTCTCGCCAGCTTTCTTCTCTCCTGCATCCACGCTGCTTTCCACCTTTGCGAATCCAATTACTTCGTGCTTCTTGCCGAAGAAAGAGTGCGACGAGGACATCGCGAGGCTTACGCTTCTCTTTCTGCATTGCGTTGCATTGCGTTGCGTTGCACCGTTTCCACCTCTGCGCTTTCTTCTGGCTCGCGTTTGTATTCACGAACTTTGCAGGCGAGGTAAAGCGTCGCTTAAAATGCAACAACGTTAGGCGGATGTTTTAATTTGTTTGCGCCGCGTCGAGCTAAGCCGCGTAACCGCTGCACTCTGTTGCGCATAAAAAGCCCGCGCGCGATCCACCACCCAATCTCTCCGCGGAATTCCTACTTTGTTATTTAATTATACGATCATGACTTCCGGTGTATTCACATTTTGATTATGAAAAGAAAGAAGGAGAAAACGAACGCTCTCTCTCTCTCGAAGCGCTCTCTCGTGATTTCGCCATTCCCCACACCTGGCAACCTTTGTCCATAAGATCAAGCGGTTTAATAACATGATTCAAGGAGCGGCAGCGATCGGTACATTAAGGTCAGGTGGGTCGAGATATATAAAGATAATAGCTCGCCACCGACCGACCGATCGACCGACAGACCGATCAGCGATAGATTTGGATAGATTCAAATACGTCGAAAAGTAAAGCTTGCAAATTACAATAAACGCGCGATTGATTCCATTAGAAAGTATAGACAATATAGACTAAATGTTATACTGTTGATAAATTAATAACTGAACAGTCCATCTATTAGATCATCTACACGGAATGAACGATTGTGCGCAACTACTATAATCTAAAAATTGAATTGATCAAAATTTTTACAGGAAACTCTGCAAGCATGATGCTGTAAGAAATGTTGATATTCTAACAATTAGCTCGAACGTTCTATGTAATTATATTGATAGTCCAACAAAATTATTTTCTAATCTGTATCTACTGAAAGAAAAAGATACCAAATTTTAATACTAGCTGTTTCAATAGTACTAATATAACATTGATCTATGAAAAAGATACCTATATATTCGCTGAATAAAAAGTAATAATAGTTAAATCAAATGAATGATTCTTGTATCGAACAAATGTTTACGCTTACAATTAGTACATATTTAACTGGCGTAAACAAATATTTATTACATTTTTCTCTCGGTGTAGCTAAATTTTTAGGTACTTTAGCAAAACTGTTCTTCCCGTTGCCGATTCCCAAACAAGTTGGTCGAAAAATTCCCAGAAAATGGTGAAATCCGAATGAAAGTGTTCGGCAAGAAATTGCGAATTTTTTGTTCGAGAACGAATTTCGAAAACGCCATCGGTACAATATAGGGGACAGGATTTGTCCACCACGAAGGGCATGCCGCCCAAGGGCGCCCCTCGCCGCAGCGACGAGCCTTAATGACGAGATCTAAGACGCGCAATGCGGCGATCCGCCGATCGACTCGCTCTTGCACACGCCTCACGGCGGGGTCAGGCGGGTCGCAGCGCGTAAAAATAATAATCAATCGAACGACCGGTAAGTGAGAGCTTGGCAATTACGCGGTGGCGGCGGTACCCTGTGCTGCGGTTTTACCCTGGGCCCCGGCCGCAGGTGAGCCGAGGACGGAGAGAGAGAGAGAGAGAGAGAGAGAGAGAGAGAGAGAGAGAGAGAGAGAACTTCCTTCTACCGCCTTTAATTCGCCTCCATTCGCCTCCCCCTTCATCCTCTGCCCTCTCTTCGCGCGCGCTATCATAACGTAACAACGCGAGACTCCCTCGCTTTATTATTAAAAGTTAAAATTCCGGTGGGAGCCGGAGAGCGATCTTGCGGCGAGCCCTCTCCACAGGTATCTTCATCCTCTCGTCTTCCCTTCTTTCTCTTTCTCTCCTCTTCTCTCGAACCGTTCCCCTCCCCCTCTCCCCCCTCTCACTCTCT